ATACCATCTAAACTTTTCTAAAGACAGTAAGTTCCCCTCAGACATACATTCATATAAACTCCTACCCCTAATTGAACCGCGATTTGATTAGCATCTTAACCGATTTGAATCTGTTACAAATAGATACATGTTACACCCCTAGATAAACGTAACATTTGTTTCTTTTTTTAAATTACTGAAGAGTGTTGAACTTTCTTCTCCTGCATATTTTTATTTATGCAATCCAGAATGGCAGCACAGCTGAAAGGTTTGTTTGAGCTGCACCCTCTACTCGGATGCGAGTTTACATTTCCTTCAGCCTGAGGCTTATTCATTTAACTTTTGGTGTGAAAGTGCTTTTATATTTGCCCAAAATAGAACTTATGTAAAACAAACAAACAAACAAGCAAGCCCAGCACAGATGAGAAAAAAGTAACACAAAATGTAAAGTAATGAATTACTTTCCATTAAAATTAACTCGCATGAAACAGAAACAGCAGACGAGCTGAATGAGACGCAGATTCACTCTCTGCCAGCCAGCAGGTGTTAAAGCGTTTCCTTGGTTTCCACTGTAAACAAAGCAGTGCTGCACTTTAATATGCACTAGACAGAGGCAAGAGGAAAAGAGAAAATACCATCTAAACTTTTCTAAAGACAGTACGTTCCCCTCAGACATACATTCATATAAACTCCTACACCTAATTTGAGTCTCACATATTTGAATCGATTTTCAACCGGCTCGCGGTTAATCGTTACATCCCTACATCACATCATTGAGGAGATTCACCTGCGTCGGGGCTGATGCCAGCAATTATAAAAAGAGTTCCCTTCCATCTCTGCAGCGGCTCCTCGTCTTGTGTTTATTTGTTTAAGATGTATCTGACGCGTGGTCTCCTTCTTTGTCACGGCTTGTGATCCAGCTGTGACAATACTGGAACTGATGTGAAAATAACCTGTGCTCTTGATATAAAGGAGATTTACTGGTACAAAATGAAACTATCAGATCCTCCAATGTTCACCTAAGGCAGGGGTAGGCAAGTTCGGTCCTAGAGAGCCGCAGTCCTGCAGAGTTCAGCTCCAACCCTAATCAAACACAACTGAACAAGCTAATCAATGTCTTCAGGATTACTAAGGCTATAGGCAGGTGAGTTTTTTTTTTCAGGGAGCTGAACTCTGCAGGACTGCGGCTCTCTAGGACCGAACTTGCCTACCCCTGACCTAAGGCTACATTTAAACGACAACGATGTAGTTAAAAACGGAAAAGTTTTTCCCTTTTTAAAAAGTTTCACGTATACATGACAACGTTTTCAAAACGATTCGCGTTTACACATTTCCACAAAAACTGCCAAAAACGCTGTATTACATATGCCAGGCCAGTAGTTGAAGCTGTCACATTGTTAGTAAACAGTACCTATAGGGAAGTGACGATTAGCTCTTTGTGGGCGGGAGTTCAATCACTAAAATCACCACACCGACTTTGTGTATATGATGCGTCTCCGCTGTTGGTTGTAATATTGGTGAAGTAAATCCACACTTTGCTGAAGAAGCATTACCAAACTCTTGAGCAGCAACAACAGTACCATGTACTCCACCATTGTTGTGTATGTTTGTTCACGCTTGGCTTTAAAATCGACACATAGGCCTACTGCGCATGTCTACATACCTAACACATACTACGCACGAGCAGGACGTCACCGTTTTCAAAGATTCCCGTATTGGGTGTTTACACGGAAACGATAAAGGTGGTGTTTTCAAAAATGTGCACTTTGAAACCCGTTTTCAAAATTGTGCGTTTTCAGTCCCCAAATCGCTGTTATCGTGTAAACGAAACGGCAAAACGCATAAAAAGTTTCCAGTTTTTGGCTGAAAACGTTGTCGTGTAAACGGCCCCTTAATCACTTAACATAGCCAGTGCCAGCCTGTGGGGTTGTGAACCCTATAGATCATGAAAATTGGGCCCACTGGTGTAAAAACTTCATAGTAATTTGACGAGTGAGGAGAAAGCTAAACATTGACAATTTCAATATTTAAGTGTATAAATGTATTAATTTTAACCTATTCAACATACAATACATGTGCAAAAATATTGCACAAATAAGTTTGCAAGTAAAGTATTGCAAAATATTGTAAATTAAATTTTCTGAAATTTATTGAAAATAAAAGTGCAAGTGTGTTTGAAAAAATAAACTAAATAGATATACGTGAAACACAAATAATTAAAATAATACATAAATAAATTATACATAAAAAAATATATATATAAGGGTACAGATTGCTTAGGGTAAATGTGCCTATAAGCTCACCACAATCTATATTGAGACATTTTTAGTGCACAAGATATTGGTTTCAATTAGGGATGCACCGATACCGATACTGGTATCGGTATCGGGCCCGATTACAAGAAGTTTAAATAAAAAAAAATGTTAAATGTTAAAATAAAATATTAATCTATCACACAATGACATTTAATTTTATTTTATTTTAAATGACAAAAGCATTTCAATTTAGATGTACATCAATAAATGCAAAAAGTCTGGCTGTGCTTAATGGGTACATTTTTGTTCCCAATAAGCTCACGTCAAGTTTTATTAAAAATTCTTGTTTATTTTAAACAACCTTTGTAAAGAATAATTGAAAAATGTTTTATTTGAAGGTACAGAGTCAATCACACACACACACACAAATAAAGAAAACAGAACACTAAAATCAAGCAACAAGGCATTCAATTTGATCAGTTATATATTCATAGTGTCATTCAAACACATTGCAACATCTAGACTTGTCCGCGTTCAGCTAAGTAACACACATTCAAAAATCAAATGACAAATCAAAGATACGAATTGTTGAATAAAGTCCTTATTTTTGTTTTCTTTGTGCACAAAAAAATTGCGGATGAACCACTGATGTCACATGGATTATTTTAACGATGTCCTTTCTACGTTTCTGGACCTGGACCTGGACCTGGACCTTGACTGTGGTAGTTACCTTGCTGTCTATGGGAGGGTCAGAGAGCTCTCGGAATTCATCGAAAATATCTTAATTTGTGTTCCGAAGATGAACGAAGTTCTTACGGGGTTGGAACGACATGAGGGTGAGTAATTAATGACAGAATTTACATTTTTGGGTGAACTATTCCTTTAATATGCACTAAAATGTGTTCTTTAACAAACCCAAAAACCTAGACTACTTAATTCATGTGTAAATTCAAGACAACTGATAGAAGTGTTAGTGTTGACATAGAAGATAGTGTTGACATTAAATGTGATTAAAATGAACTCTACAACATATTAAAAATATGACTATAACACATGCTATAATAAATAGGCTAACAACAAACCTGAATAAGAGGAACATTTAAAATGTCATATTTGAAAACTTTTTTTTTCAGTCTGTTTTCTCTAAAAACTTTAAATGAATTTTTATTCTTTGCATGTTTTAAAGCTGTATTGCTCCTCTCATCCTTTCTTCTCTCCAGAGATTGAACTTCATGCCTTGCCTTCCTTTCTGTTCTTTTTCAGTTCCTACATCTCTGACTTGAATTTCCTGACTGCAGGCTCATTTCTGTTTTCTAAAATGTCAGTTATACATGTTAATCATAAAATAATCAGAGAATGTCAATTTATATAATGAATGAGTGCAGGATTTGTAAAGGTCAAAAGTGGTCCACGTTATCTAGCATATTCAGCCAAAGTGGGCCAAAAATATTTAGCTGCCAAGAAAAAAAAAAAGTATTCTTTACATTTTAATACATGTTGCATGCAGTAACAAATACGAGTACAGCAGCAACCTTATAAGTTAGAAACTAAAATATGAATGTCAAAGGGCTTACTACCTTTCACCATGAGGGAGTCCTCTTTTGAGCTGTAGCCACATCCATCACTGTCAATCAAAACCATTTTAGCAATTTAAAAAATAGTGTTCTTTAATTAAAGACAATTTTCTGAAAGTGTAAACCCACTGAACACAATACAATCAATTGTCAATGTCCCACTTCACCTGAATTGACACCTATATAAAGAAAAGTGTTATAACTCGTTCTCAACGTATGATATATAATCATTGACATAATTAACTCTGTAAGTCATGGAAGCCATTCTGTTGTCATTTGATGAGAAAACGGCAACAGGAAATGACATTACACGATTACAGAGTAACAAAAATTATGAGAGAATATTAAAAATACCTTTATATGAGTTTTAAAGAAGAACAGAGGTCTTGTATTGGAATGACATGAGGATGAGTAAATGATGACAGTTTATTAATTTCTGAGTCAACAAAACCTTGATTTGTGATCAGAAGAAGGTAAGATGATCTGCTTTCCTATCTGCTTGTTTATCTCTTTCCAGTCTGTGACATTACAGATGTTTCTTCTTTAACTCAGGCTTTGACAAACACAAAAGCCCTGCAGTTTCTAAAAGAGCTTGACCTGAGACACAATATGACAGGAGACTCAAACCAGCATCAAAGGGATTGTGTAAGAACAAAATTAGCTCATTTAAAATAATGTTTAACACAAAGAAGGAGAGGGAATAAAACCTTTATGACCACAGCTTTATGGAACAATAGAAAATGCTGCAGTCCTGCTGAAATCAGTGTGAATTTCCAGTCTTACAGCCAGCCAACCTCACATGATATAACTTTATGCTTACTTTCAGTTACTTTCTAAAACCTTCACAAACACGCTAGCTTTAACTAATAGAAAGTTTCACTCAAAGGTTTTTTTGTTTTAATTCAAAATAATGTCTGTTTGTTCCCGCTATCACATGCCCTTCACTCATCAGCATGTATTTCTGTTACAGTGACTCAACAGGAGTCACAGGTCCTTCTACAGTCTCTCTAACACACAGACACACATGATTCATGTTTTAAATGTATTGTATTTAAAACAAGCAAGCCGGTGTTCATTTTAGTGTAATCTGCTATATTTCTCTTTATTGTTTTAATTGAAATAGCCTATAGTACTTTTAGCAATTCCTGCCCAAAAAATTATAATTTTCTACTCTAATTTCTCCAGAAATTAGTCAGTGAAGACTGGCTAAATCTCAATGGATGTTCTTGAAACAAACAAAGAAACAAATTCATTGGTTGGGAGAAAGAAAAAAAAAGTTCAGAGAGTGTTTCTGAAGGGAGATTGAGAAGTGGCGGAAGGAGGAAAAACTTATGTTTGTTTGTGCTTCACACTCCTGTGCAGTTGGTGGTGGTAATGAATTAAAGCTGTTTGACAAACGCCGGTAAACATGAGAAGAACCCAGGTGTGTAACAGCTTGTTGGATCATGTTTACTTGCTGAATCAGACGCTGATTGCTGCAAAAGCCTTGATATAAGCACTTTTTTCATAAGTGTCTGCTTTTTGGAAAATCCTTGCCCTGGTGTAACTATTGTTTTAAGCAAGAAATAAAAACATTACTGTTTGCCGAATAAATAATATACTATTGCAAACGGTTAGCTGCGAATTGGAATTAAAGAGATGCAAATTCAGCTTTAACAAATCAAAGTGAGGATATCGGGATGGTCAGTCAAAATATTTAAGCCGGTGTTGTGCCGAAATCGGTGACCTAGCGAAAACTGTGACCAGTGGTCACTGTTCAGCAAGTGTTCGCGCGGGAGCACTTTTAACAGCGTCAGAGGAGACGAGCGGTACTGTAAAACAAAACAGGACAATCTAGATATTGTCACCAGCATCTAAATTCTTATATAGAAAATAATTTAAACATTAATGCTGCTGTTGTCTGCCAATGTGTTAGCCTACTACTAAGAATGGTTTCCTGATGAGATGTTTTAGCGCTTGCTATGTAAAACATATTCTGATAAATATAATTATTATTACTATTTACTGTAATTACCCAATAATGTTGGAGATCTACAGTTTTTTCCTTAAAAATGCATATGATTGCAGTTGGCTAGGGTCACTGAATCTGATAAGTAAAAATTCATATAGCTATCAAAATGTTACCACTCTTTCATAATTAACTGACTATAAATGTTTCATAAAGTGACTTGTTTAATGAAGTGTGATGTTGAGCTCCTCTTCTTTCTATTTTATAAAGCATATTGATCAGCTGACATATAGATACAGTATGGTGTGACAGGTCAAAATTATTATACCAAAATGTTACCCCTTTTTACCTTTTTAAGTTTATAAGTCTATGTTCTTCAAACTCATTCAAGTGATGTAAGGATTTCTCCATTTTAGGGATGCACAATATTATCAGACTGATATTGGAATGGCTTTAAATGTAAATATCGGCATCAGCCCGATATGAAGAATTATGCCGATATGTCTTGCCGATAAAAGGAATGTGTTAACTCATATGTGCTCAGGGTGTTCTAGCAATTAGATCACGTCAGCAGTGTGGCTCATTCTTGAAGCAAAGTTTTGCCTGAATGATGATTAAATTCACTCTTTTAGATCGCTGCATTTAATCTGTGAAAGCAAGTACAGAATGACGCGTTCGGTGTGTGATAGAGTCAACAGTAGCACGTGCAGTGGCAGCAGCGGGTCCTAACGCCCGCTCAGTAAGGAGTTTTAATCTGTAGGGGGCGCTGTTGGCCTACTTCTAATTAAATTAATAGTAAAATAGCATACACAAATAACATTTAGACTGTGTTTCTGATTAAATAAAGCAGCAATTGATGTCAACATAATGAGTATGTTTTGATTTAAAGGTCAGAAGCTATAGCTTACATGAAAAAAAAAATCACAAACATGTCACTTGTAAATTAAATAATTTTATGTATACTGATTTATTCATTAATGTGTCATATGTTTTATTTTTTAAACAAATCATAAGCTCTAAAATATTTTCAGAATTTTTACAACTCTTTCGCTTTTTTAGACTTTGCTATCCTAGGTACTACCAAAGGTCCAGAGTTTTGCGACCTTAGGGAGCGTGATGGATTGTAGCGTGGTAGAAGACTAGTTAGGTACGCAGGAGCTAACCCATTAAGGGCCTTATAGGCAAGTAATAATATTTTGTAACTGATACGGAACTTAATAGGTAGCCAGTGCAGAGACACTAATTGGGGTAATATGATCATATTTTCTTGACCTGGTAAGGACGCTAGCCGCTGCATTTTGGACTAGAGGTCTGCATTCCCGTGGCTCTCCTGCGGGAACCGGGGACCCGACCGGATTTTTTGCGCCGCCGGATTAAATTCCCGAATAAAACGCGGTAGCGGTCGGTAACTCTGGTGTCGTTGGCGGAAGTTAGCCTATTTTCAGGCGCTGCGTAATATCATTCCGGCTTCTCCCGCTTCACAACGAGCGGGACTCGCGCTAACCGCAATTCCCTTCACCGTCCGCGTTTTGATTTTGCCAAATCGGTTTGGGCCAATGCAAACAACTTATTGATCATGAGCCCAACATCCAGCAAGGCAGGAAAACATTCAATCTACCTGAGGGAAGACGTCTTTCATTGTAAGTTAATGCTGTTAAATAGAGAGAGAAAAAAATACATTAAAAAAAACAACTTCTAGCGTATTCTTAAATGTGGACATCATTATTGAAGTAGGGCCTACAAATCCAAGCACCAGAAGCAGCCCACACGCTCTAAGTTTTCTTTAATTGAAAAATATGCATTTTCATTCATTCAAAGGCTATATGGTTGTAATGATATTTTAGTTCAAAACTTTAAGTGCCATTGTTAAAAATGCTTTATTGACTGACGTTTCATCAGTTGTTAGCTTTCAAATTTCAAATGCCATTTGTAATTTCACAGTATTTTCACCTCCTAAACTATATACACTTGTGATTTGTGAAGTCACAATTCTATATTGGTACAATTTACTCAGGCCGATGACATTTTTTGTATGACATTAAAATTATTTTTAGAATATTTGTACACAAATTATGCAAAACAATTATGTCTGAGAACTTTTTACCTGCATGCAGACAGCCTACATTATGGTACAGTACAAATATTTGGAGCGTCCCTTATTCTGTCCTTTATTTTCTTAAAGAATAAACACTTATTTTCTACAAGAATACAAGAACAAACACCATTTTATTAAAAAATAAAACAAAGAATCACAATTGTCTCTTTTTTTTCCATGTCTGAAGTTAATTGGCAACCCTAATGATGACGTAATTATCTTACTCTCCTGACAGCACGCACCTTGCTCAAAAAAAACAAAACATCAGTTGATGGAGATATGCGAGCAAAAAAATTATAGATCAAAGAAAATGCATAATAGAAAGCGCAAAAGGTGGCACTGAAAAGGCCAGTACAAAAAAGAAAACAAAAGTGGGCCGGTCTAAGGCATGAAACCCCAGGGCTGAAAATGAGTCCCACTCCGGCCCTGAGTTCATGTGTATTTATGGGTACACAGAGCAGTTGAGATAAATTGGGCAGGTTATTTGGGAATCTGTCTTTGGTGGCTGGAACAATAGTTCTGCCCGGACGATAACGCGGAGCCATGTAGTTAATATCAGAAATACGCAGCATGCACAATACCAGGAAATGGTCAGTAACATCATTACTTTGAGGTACGATATCTATATCAGTAAGATCAATTCCATGCAATATAATTAAATCTAGCGTATGATTAAAACGATGAGTGGGCCCGGTGACGTTTTGCTTGACTCCAAAAGAGTTTATTAGGTCAGTAAACGCAAGTCCTAATGCATCATTTGTATTATCAACGTGAATGTTAAAATCTCCGACAATTAGCGCTTTCGCAACAGTAACCAATAGGTCTGAGAGGAAATCTGCAAATTCTTTTAGGAAATCTGTATAACTGTCAAAAAACCTTCATTATTGTTTATTCAATTCTAACAAATACGTTCTTGTTAAAAACTAACCAAAATTAAAAATATATTGCTTATAATTTCTGCAAAGGAGAGACTTGGTGTTGTTTCCAAACAAAAGGAAATATATTGGTATCGGCAAAAATGAGTTGAAAAATATCGGCATATCGGATATAGGCAAATATCCAATATCATGCATCCCTACTCCATTTTCCTGTAGGTTTATTCTTGTTGTCTTTTGAGTAACCGTCACCAATTTTTAGACATTACAGAAATCATTTCCAGAAGAAGAAAAAAAACTCACTAAGCTAATTTCGGTGATGCTTTTTTTTAGGTTATCATGCAGAAGGTTTGTTCTGTATTGCACCTCTAACGCTGTTGAAATTTTACCACTGTACAGTCAACTTGGCTGTATAGGTAATTTCAACTTAAATTACATTAGACTTAAAAACATGAGTTGAAACTTTTATAGCCAAACTTATTTTAAAAAGTTAAGAATTGCTTAACTTATTTTGATGAGTTAAAGTGTTTGATGAGTTAAAGAGTTAAAGACTTATTGATCATACTATTTTTATTTTACACTGTTTGCATAGTACTAAGAATTTGTAACAATTAAAATAATATTTTACTGTGATTTCTTCGTGAATTTTTTCTGCCTTCTAGAGCAGTGTTTCTCAACCAGGGGTCCGTGGACCCCTAGTGGTCCTTGACATAAGGCCAGGGGGTCCGTATAAAGTATGATTTTTTAAAAATAAATTTTGTATATTTTGACATGACATGTTCCCATGAATGCCCCATATGGCCAAATACTGGACAAGTCAACTAACTTGAATTATACTTGACTGCATTTGGTCCTCAGGTACGGAGTAGCATAGTGAACTCAAGACCATACGAAGTGTGACTGCAGTGACTGGGCATTTGAACTAGTGTTGATGAGGTGGTGACAGGTGGGCTGATTAGTACTCCGGTGATTGTGAATGGGTGTGTGAGGTGATTGGGCCTGACGAGGCTGGACTATCCCTGACAATCACCCTTTTACAAAACAAATAGGAGTACATACTGTAGTATAATATAATTATATACAATTTTCACTGTCCCACATGACTTTTATGGTTTATTAATTTATGTTATGTTAAGTTTACAACACTATTTCACAATCAAATACTAATTTAACCTCGATAAACTGTTTATACTGCACTTTTTAAATAAAAAAATTCCAGAAATGGAGTGGGTGAATTGTAACAAGATAAATGCATGTTGGGCAAAGGAATTCCTTCTAAATCTGCATTTTTCACATTGAATGTGTACAAGAAAATCCAACCCGTTCTCATCAATCTGAGAAAATCAGTTTGAAAAAAAACAAAACTGTAAGCTACAAAACAGGCACATAAATGTTTTAATTTCAGTTCTGCTTTTTCTCTTGATTCCACATAATACTTTCACATATTAACATATTATTTAATATTTTTAATTAAGTGCAGATTCTGAAATGAATAACAAAAAGCTCATATAAAAACAAGCTTAACCCATTTAATCCCACTGGTCACAATAGTGACCGTAAAAATAGTTTCATTTATAAACCTCTAAAAACCTCACTGACAGATGTTTTAGTGCATTTCCTGCAAATATGGGAAAAAATAAAGGGTCTTAATGAAATATGTGCAAACTGTCACATGACCAGAGCAGTTTATTTGACAACATCAATTTTTGTTTGTTGCTGCCGTGTGTTTTGAGTTTGAGCTCCGTAAAGTTAATTCTTTATCGTCTATTTTTTTATCTTAAAATCTATTTTGTACACCATTTTCGTTTCTATAAAGTGTGAATATATCCCCGATCGTATTCTACAACAAAAACAATCAGAGCGCCTTGTTATCACTAGTTTTATTTTGATTTCCCAAGTCCGCTATTAGCATACAGCCCGTTAGCATCGCCAGCGTGGTTGCAGCTAATCTCGCTTACTTTGCTAATACTCTATTCACACACATTACCATTGTTTTACTCACTGTTATTTGCTTTAATGGCGGATGTGTGTCTACCTTTGAGTGCAGGCGAGGACACGTTCAAGCTGCATTCGGTGCAGCTCGAAGACTCCATCGTCTGGCACGTCCGTGCTACGATAGCTGAAGGTAAAGTGCACACCCACTGTTTCCCTGGTGCTCGTGTTCTCGATATTTCTGCGCAGATACCCGTGATTCTGAAGGGTGATGAGAGCCCCGGAGCGGTCGTGCTTCACGCGGGGGTTAACGAAACCAAGCTGCAGCAGACGGAGACACTAAAGAGGGACTTCAGGAGCCTGATCGAGACGGTGCGCAACACATCGCCCGCGACGATGATCATCGTGTCAGGACCGCTTCCCACGTATCGACGTGGACACGAAAGGTTCAGTAGACTTTTTGCTTTAAATGAATGGTTATTGTCATGGTGTAAAGAACAGAAACTGCTCTTTGTTAATAATTGGAATCTTTTCTGGGAGCGTCCTAGGCTTTTTCGCGCTGATGGCCTGCACCCCAGCAGAGTAGGTGCGGAACTCATGTCGGACAACATCTCCAGGAAGCTACGCTCCATATGACTAGTAAGTCAAATCTCAAATAACTGCCATGATGACTTTTGTTCTACCCGCCTAAATGATAGAAGTACTTACGCTGTACAATCTATAAAGACTGTGTCTGTTCCCCGAATAGTGAGGTCAAAATATAAATTTAATGCAGGATCTAGAAAAAATCTGATCGTGATTAAACCAGAAAAATGTAAAATAAATGAACAAAAACAATTTTTAAAGTTTGGGCTCCTAAACATTAGATCACTCTCACCCAAAGCAGTTATTGTAAATGAAATAATCACAGATAATCGTTTTGATGTACTCTGCTTGACTGAAACCTGGCTAAAACCTAATGATTATATTGGTCTAAATGAGTCTACTCCCAAAGCAATTATTGTAAATTAAATGATCACAGATAATAGTTTTGATGTACTCTGCTTGACTGAGACACAGCTAAAACCAAATGATTGTATTGGGGTGCTCCGATCAGGATTTTTGAGGCCGATCGCTGAGCACAGAAAACAGTATCTGCCGATACCGATCATCTTTTTAAAGCCTTCTTTTTATAATGTATAACTATTTATAGTGATACTCCAATCAGTATTTTTATTTTTATTTATTTATTCAGGGCCTGAATTTCATTTTTTAAAATGGGGGGAATTCCCCTCTTAGGTGTGTCTTGTGAGGGGGGAAGCAGCACAGACTGTGCTTTCACACAGGAGTCCGCTACTGATCTATGTGTTACGGGGTGAACGAGACGTGAGGATCCATCTGCAAAGCTTTTATTTAAAGGCGTGGTCATAAAACAGGCAAGGTTCTGACAATGGCAAACAGGGATATTGAGGGCAAGACAAAGAGTAATCCAAAACGGGCGTGAGTCAGTCGACAGCGAATGTAATCCAAGGGGCTTGACAAGAGTAGTAGTCCAATAACAAGAGCAATACTGCCGTGCAAAGGCAAAAGACCGTAACTTCGATTTTTGTCGAAAATTAGTTATTGATATTTTTGGGACTTTCAAGACATCCTTTATCATGTGCATAAGTATCTTGAGTCAATTTCGTTGTTTTTCCGAGAAAATAATGTGTCGTCTCAATCGTAACTTCGAAAAGTTCCGGAGAGACCAAGGCAGAACACCGTATAACACCAGTTACGGCTCTTTCACTTTGTTTGGAACGCTCAAATTGAGTTACGGCATTCTGCCTTTGTTTAGCCGTGCGTCAAAATGAAGTTACGGTGCCGGTTTGAAGTTATACGGTGTTCTTCCTTTTTTTTTACTGTCCATTAAAGTCTGCCGCATTTAAATTACGGTGTAGACAAATTAATTAGATAGATCGCGATCTACCAAACAGCTCCATATAACAAAGCCCTGTAAAGACTAGATACCTTGGCAGCAATACGTAATCGTGAATAACATTTAAATCTTTTTGTAATGCAGATATCAAAATATATGTTCATCGTCTGTTTGATTACGTCTTTAATTGATTTTTCCGTACATTTCTACCATATGTACATTAACTGACAGTCTCCACTGATAAGCTACCACTAAATATTGTAGAAACTTAATTTGCTGTAAAGTTGCTTTGCAACGATTTGTATTGTGAAAAGCGCTATACAAATAAACTTGAATTGAATTGAATGTGTATGTATGATCTGCATTGTGTTGGATTTATTGATTTTTATTGCACAAATAAAAAAAATGCTCTGAATTATAGTATTTCCCATTCATTTACTATGGGTGCCCCCTTATGTCCACGAAGGACAAATTAAGGAGGTTTTTTGTTTCAACCACATAACTTTTTGAATTGAGTCCATTTTTTGTAAGTGTGTTCAGGTGGCAAACTTAGGAAAAGTAGCCAAGTCTTTCAGATTACAGAAACTATAAAAAAAATGTAAAAAACAAACAAAAAAAACAAAAACAAAGATTTTGCCCAAATTTGCCCCGAAGGATAGGCTACTTGAGCTTTAATGTATTCTCTTTTCATAATCAAATTACGTCCATGCTATCGGAGTTACATGACTGCCTCTCCGAAATGTTATTGCAACTGATAATAATCCTCCACCCCCAACTCTCACACCAGCAATTTGAATATCTGTTTAGGACTGGAGGGCAACCAAGGTGATTATGTTTATTTTTATGTTTTTAATAAACACATTTCTGATGACAATGACATTAAACAGAAAATTAAACATTATACTGATTGGTCAGGCACATACATATCTCCCGCAGAGAACATCACTGTGTTACATATGAAACAACCAATATTTTATATGCAATTTTCCTGAGACTAGTGTCAATGTATGTATGCTGCATGAATGTATGAATGCAGCAGGGTGACAGCTGGTAAGGCGTTTGACAGGGTTATTTATTAGTGTGCAATAGGCAATAGATTTTATGAGGATTTTATTAGGAGAGTTGGATAAAACAGAATTACAATGTAATGAAGATTAATTCTAAAGTGCATCTGACATAATTCCACACATATACATGAAATAGTAAAAGTCTGCATTTCCTTGTATATCCTTACACAGGTATGATCTGACCAGAGAGCAGCTGACCCAGTTAAGAGAAACAGGAATGTCATGGACAGCTATCTCTACCTGTTTTGGTGTGAGCTGTTGAACCATACGAAAACGACGCATTTAGTATGGCATTGAGACTAATTTCAGCACAATTTCAGATGTTGACCTCGATGCACTGATTCATTCAATCATCAATCAAACACCTAACACTAGAGGTAGCATAATATTTATGTATATATATACAGTGGGTACGGAAAGTATTCAGACCCCCTTAAATTTTTCACTCTTTGTTATATTGCAGCCATTTGCTAAAATCATTTAAGTTAATTTTTTTTTTTCATTAATGTACACACAGCACCCCATATTGACAGAAAAACACAGAATTGTTGACATCTTTGCAGATTTATTAAAAAAGAAAAACTGAAAAATGCTCAGTATTTAGTAGAAGCACCCCTTTGATCTAATACAGCCATGAGTCTTTTTGGGAAAGATGCAACAAGGTTTTCACACCTGGATTTGGGGATCCTCCGCCATTCCTCCTTGCAGATCCTCTCCAGTTCTATCAGGTTGGATGGTAAACGTTGGTGGACAGCCATTTTTAGGTCTCTCCAGAGATGCTCAATTGGGTTTAAGTCAGGGATCTGGCTGGGCCATTCAAGAACAGTCACAGAGTTGTTGTGAAGCCACTCCTTCGTTATTTTAGCTGTGTGCTTAGGGTCATTGTCTTGTTGGAAGGTAAACCTTAGTTCCAGTCTGAGGTCCTGAGCACTCTGGAGAAGGTTTTCGCCCAGGATATCCCTGTACTTGGCCGCATTCATCTTTCCCTCGATTGCAACCAGTCGTCCTGTCCCTGCAGCTGAAAAACACCCCCACAGCATGATGCTGCCACCACCATGCTTCACTGTTGGGACTGTATTGGACAGGTGCCTGGTTTTCTCCACACATACCGCTTAGAATTAAGGCCAAAAAGTTCTATCTTGGTCTCATCAGACCAGAGAATCTTATTTCTCACCATCTTGGAGTCCTTCAGGTGTTTTTTTAGCAAACTCCATGCGGGCTTTCATGTGTCTTGAACTGAGGAGAGGCTTCCGTCGGGCCACTCTGCCATAAAGCCCCGACTGGTGGAGGGCTGCAGTGATGGTTGACTTTCTACAACTTTCTCCCATCTCCCGACTGCATCTCTGGAGCTCAGCCACAGTGATCTTTGGGTTCTTCTTTACCTCTCTCACCAAGGCTCTTCTCCCCCGATAGCTCAGTTTGGCCGGACAGCCAGCTCTAGGAAGGGTTCTGGTCGTCCCAAACGTCTTCCTATATATATATATATATATAATATGATATCTAATTGTGTCATTTTGATGTCAAGTGTGCTTATACTGATGATGCTGACATTGTTCAATTGCATTGTAGGAAGTCTGAGAAGTAGAGGACTCTCTATCCAAAGACGACGTGTCCGGGAACGACTGGCAGCAGTTTACCCTGTTGGCACCATGATCCGTACAAGACATGCAATTAGGAGGAGAGTATATAATGTTAGAGGACCAAATCATCTTTGGTATGTATTACAATGGCATTAGTATGTATCAGTCATATTATGAATGTATCATGTCAGTTTGTACAAATCCTTTTGTTTTGTTTTTTAGGTACATTGATTCAAAGCACAAATTAATTGCGTGGAGATTTGGGTTTCATGGGTGCATCGATGGCTATAGCCGGACTGTTATTTACCTTGAGTGTTGTACAGACAATAGAGCATAAACAGCACTTACCTTTTTTCAGCAGGTTGTGGCAAGATTTGGTTTGCATTACAGAGTCAGAGTAGACAGAGGTGGTGAGAACAATGAAGTGGCCAGGTACAAAATACACAATCGGGGAAATGAAAGAGGGAGTTTTAACTCCCGCACCTGAAATTTTACATCTGCACCTGAAAAACACCAAACCAGAAGTGATGTAAGGAGAGGGAGAGCGGTCCATTTAAACCATTGGAAAACAATGGATCGCAATGACAGTTCACCCGCTGAGGAAATTGTAAATGTTTATTCACACCACAGCCATACAATTATGAGCCTGTTATGCGGCCAAGAGAGCAGGGACAGGCCAGGATTAGATAGAACAACGGAGGAGGAGACAAATTGAGTTGTGGAGTGATGAGAACCAGTATAGATATACACACGTTAGCTAACGATATGTAGCACTGTGCTGTATCAGGCAATAGCAAAGCTAGTATTGGTCATCTATGAGTATTGATACTTACCAGTAACCGAAACTAATAAATGTTGATGATCAGGCGTGTCACACTCGTTAATATCCGTTCACACGAACGTTATGTGTTATAGCGGTTTCTCATCACCGCAGGAGAGGGAGGGAGGGAGATAAACACGTTTTTGTTTGTTTTTGTGCTTGTGTGGTAAATGCGAGGCCATGGTCACAGCTGAGGAAAGTCAGTGCTGCAGGGAGTTAGATACATACTGGGCTTTAGTGGAGAATGTGACCCCCACACTTGATGTGCAGTCTCTGACTCTGCACCTAGGCTTTGAAGCTTGCTGTCTGAACCCATGTGTGCTACAGATAGCCTATATGCACTTCAGACAGGAGCATGGACCTCTCCTGGCCAGCAGACATGAGTATGTTTAGGGCAAAGATCATTTATTACTCTGAGCTAAATACTTGCAGTGGTGTATAATGTACCTGAAAGCCATACTCAAGTAAAAGTACAGATACCTTACCAGAAAATGACCTTTTGCATTGAAGTCACCATTTAGAATATTACTTGAGTAAAAGTCTTTAAGGGGTCATTGGATGCCCATTTGATATAAGTTGATATGATTCTTTAGGGTCTTAATGAAAAATCTATAACATACTTTGGTTAAAATTTCTCAATGGTAGTGTAAAAAACACCTTTTTTACCCTGTCAAAATCAGCTCTGTCTTTAGCAAGCAATTCTAGTCCATGTTGCTTTAAATGTTAATGAGCTCTGCTGACTCCGCCCCTCTCTTCTGTGGTATGAGGAGCAGTACTGTTTACTTTAGCCACGAAACTGGCTTTCTAGCACGTTATTAGGAAAGGCGATTTGTAAAGATTCATAAAAAAAACCTTATACCCACTTCTTCTGTAGATGAAGCTGGGTCACGAATGATTCGCGCAAACATAGACGCATTTAGGCATATCGGGGATCGGCGCATTCCCTTCAAAACGAAAGTAACGTTAATCGTCTGCGTCTTCAGCGGCTCAGATGTCGGGAGTAAATGACGACTGCTATGTTTATTATTACATCCAACAACAAAACACCTCAATCGCTTAATCTGAGATGTTCTTGTCTTCCCCTGCACCGGAGTCGACACAATGGCAGACAGCTCACAGCTCACTTAGGGTAAGGTAAGAGGTAACTCTAAGGTAAGACGGCCTTGTCAATCAACCATCGTGGGAGGGGCCTATTATAGGATAGATGTTTACACACACTTCCAACACACATTTATGTTCAAACAACAACAAAAG